AATAATGTTGTGATAATTTAAGCTTAAAAATTTTTACTAGCAGACCTTGCAGTCGAACATTGTTCTTTTTAGAACCTCTTTTAGTACGAAGTGTGCAAGATATCTTAATAGCCGTAAAAAACTCGTCGTAACTTTATTAGAATATTGTGAACGGGAAAGCGGTAGTAATGGCACTTTATGCCCCTTAAGTGCTGCTAAGAAGGTGAGTTTTGTTAATGTAAATAATAACTGTTTATATATTTATAATTAATTTATTTTTGTTTCCTAAAATATTTTGATTAAAAGAAAATATCTAAAAGTGGGCAACGCTGTGCCGGTCAAGCTTAATCACGTGACTAAAAATTTATTTGGTATGAACCTCATTGCTTAATAACTGTCAAAGAATGACATTAAAAAAATAAAGCTTCATTCAGAACTTCGAAATTAGTGGTTTAATTTAGCATATAGAAGAAACTTTTAAATTTTGCCATTAATTATACTCCAAAATTTTCGAGTAATGTCATTTTGGCCTTTGGTTTTGATTCGTCAAGAGAAATTGTGGTTAGAAATGAAAAATTTATTGTTTTATAAATAAATTTATAAGTTAAAATTTTGTTAACTTTTTCTACTAATTGAAAATTACTACCACTAATTTTGATGGTCTAAATGCTTACATTGAAATTAGAGGAACAAACATCTACGCTAATTGGAACGACTAATTTATTACACTAATTTCGAGGTTCTGAATGAACCTATTTATACCGTGTGTTTAAAAAAAAGGCGTTAAGGATGGCTGGGGAATGACAATCGCTGATAATTTTGGCGAGGTCTATCTCTACACGTCATTCAGTATTAGGAACAATACAATTTGTCAAAAAATAACACTAATTATAGAAAAGATTCAAAAAGACTAGAACGTTTCCAGACACAAATCTATTTCAACAAAAATATTTATTTCTCAAATTTTAAACTACACCATTTAAAAATAATTTTTACTCAATATAATAGTATATTACACACCGAGGTGGAAAGTGTTTCATTACTGTCGAGAGATTTGATAGCTTACCGAGCGCCGAGGTAAACTTAATCTCGAGACAGAAATGAAACTTTACACCGAGGTTTGTATACTATTCTATTTACAACCACATCATCAATTAAAAAAAAGTGACAGTATTTTATTTTGAAAAAAAAATAAATATGCGAAAATTTGTCGTTTTGGCATTTCCATATCTATAGTTACCGTGGTTGTTATGGCGCAAACCTTCAACAGCAATACAAACAACCAAGTGACAGTTTTGAATTTATCGTTCGCTTTTTCGAATTTATATAACATAGAAAGCCAGAATGCTGTCGGAAAGTTCTGATAATGAAGACTACTTTAATATCGGTACTCCACCAGAACTTACAGAAGCTGCAACCAACAAGGTGGTATATCCGTAAGTGTCAAAGCATATAATAATTCGAATGAAACAATTAATTTGAATAAATTGTTATTTGTTGTTTTAAACTTTTTATTTTAATACTTTTAATACAAAATGTACCTAATAGGACATTGTAGCACCGATTGTAGTTTGCTTAAAAGACTTTTCTATAAAAAAGTTGCAATTAAAGCAGCATTTTTTCAAAATAAAATCTTTAAAAAAATGTTTACGACCTAATTTAAAAATCTGTATTTACTTCCCGCCATCTTCCCGCCCACGGGAGGGAAGTAAACTTTCCACCCGTGGGTGGGAAATAAAAGTTAGAAAACTGACATTTTCCAACCTTCAAAAAGTCGGAAATGTCAACATTACTTATATGGTTGTAAACAAGTTGTAAATAAAAATAATTCCTTCTTAAGGTCAACAGGCAGTAAGCGTCATTAAACAAATAAAGAAGAGCACGGACTGAGTAAAGGGCGTCTAGCTCATTCCCCAGCCGTCTTCAATTCGTAAATTCTAACCGCTGAAACACCAAGACCGAAACTGAGCATCACGTTCTATTAACTCAGTAAACCAGAATCCTAAAGTGTTAGATTCCCACGATCCTCTTAGCCAAATAAATGGAACTTTAGCGTCATAAATACTATCCAAAGCTTCTCCAAGGGCCTATAAACGGTAAAATGAATTATTATTCCGTTTTTGCAAATAGCAATTAAGTTTTACCTCACTCATAATGATAGTACCTTCAATTGCCAACAACAAATCTGTTAAAGTAGCGCGTACCAAACTAATAACTTTTTGCATTCTGTCTATTTCTTGTCTCAAAAAGATATTTAGTGGATTCAGATGATTCATAATTCTTAACCTAGAATGCAATTATTTTTAACGACATACAGTTACGACAAAATCATCTCAAATTTAAAAAAAATATATCACCAAAAACACCTCGGAATATATAAGTGTACTTTACGGTTATACGCAATATTTTATACTAGAGAGCATCACGAACATATCAAATCTACTTATTATGCTACAAATGAACCTTAATAACCAAATCACTCCTGAAATTAAGTAAGCTACACCGAGATGCAAAAAAAACGCAACGGAGAAAATTTTGGTCAAATTTGAAGTGTTATATTTTTGTTATTTTTAGCCCTATTTTCATAATTTTTTTAGCAAACTGTGTATAACTATATCAACTATATTCGTAAACTAAGTTTTTTTTATAAACTTTAGTATTTCGCATATTATACAGGGTTAATCGAGAGGCTGTTTTTTTACCTTAATTTTAAAACACCCTGTGCAATAATTTTGTGTGCAAATTTTCCGAAAATATAATTTTACGGTCAGAACCATGTCTCCTGAGCATTTTGTTTTTTGGATCATGTCAATATATGCCTTGGTTAATTTTTAAGAGCGAAATGAACTTGACAACAACAATTTGCAATTTTTTCAATCATCATTATCTTTTGATGTAATTTTTTAATATGACGAGATGCTTTTGGTGACTATTGTCGTAATGTCATATTACGCTGCATTGGATAATTTATACTAAATTAAAAAAAACCTTTAAGACGAACAATACAGTTCTGGTTTTAATAAACATTAATAACGATAACAGAACTGAAAACAGAAAAAAAAAATATAAAAAATACCCTAATACTCTCCATTGCTTCCCTTGGTTGATATAATGTGTGTATACGTCCATTCATACTGTCATTGAGGCTGCAAATATCATATTGTGTTATACTTTCCCATTCTTCTTTAAGAATCAACCGAAATTTATTTAATGAAGCTGGTACGGCTTTGCGACCTCTTACCCTTCTGCCAAGCATGTCCCAAACGTCGAACATGATGGGCAGTTCATAGTAGTATATAGTTCACAATAATCACCAAAGCCGGCTTATCATATTGCAAAATAACTCCAAAAAAAATGATAATTTGAAAAAATTGCAAATTGTTGGTGTCAAGTTCATTTCGCTCTTAAAAATTAACCAAGGCATATATTGACATGATCCAAAAAACAAAATGCTCAGGAGACATGGTTCTGACCGTAAAATTATATTTTAAGAAAATTTACAGACGAAATTATTGGACAGGGTGTTTTAAAGTTAAGGTAAAAAAACAAGCCCTCGATTAACCCTGTATAATAAGCCAAATACTAAAGTTTATAAAAACTAAGTTTACAAATTAAATTTGACATAATTATATACAGGTTGCTAAAAAAATCATGAAAACAGGGCTAAAACTAACAAAAATATAACACTTTAAATTTGAGCAAAAATTTCTCCGTTGCGTTTTTTTACAAGTCAAGTGTTATGTGAATTAGAATTTTATCCGTTAAATATATTCAAAAAGTGGAGTTATCTATGAAATAAATTAGAAAATTCAAATTACAAGTTATAAAGTATATTAAGATAGAACGGGTGAGTAAAAATCAGTTGATTCAGACTTCACAAGAAGTAGTTTTTGAATATCTCTAAAATACTATCACATAGAAGCATTTAAAGAATTTGCAATATTTAGCAAGCAATCTTACAAGCCATCCCAACGGTGTTGTCAAGTGTCTCAAAATTTAGCGCTGTTTATCGATAAAATAACCCAAGAAATTAAATTAGGGGATTTATACACGCTCTTCAATAATATTAACGAAAATGTTTGCAATAAGATTGATAACATCAAGACAGATCTAGATAATCTCAGCTCTAACCAACTCTATTCAAAGTAAAATTGAAGTATTAGAAACAGAAAATAAGGAATTAAAACATCAAGTATATCTTACAAAAAAACTTTTAAAGAAAAACAATTTGATAATATATGGAATGCCAGAGAGAAATAGTGAACATCTTTTGGAATCCATAATAGATCTTGTAAAAGAAAAACTCGATATAAATTTGAAGATAGAAGATTTATCGGAGTGTTTCAGACTTGGAAAAAATATAACCAAAGATCGACCTATCCTTATAAGCTTAGTGTCTTGTTTAAAAAGGACGGAACTCCTTAAAAATAAGGGAAAACTCAGAGGAACAAATATATTTATAGACGAAGATTTAGTAGCAGAAGACAGAGTGAACAAAAAGGTTTTAGTCGAAAAATTGAAAGAAGCAAAAGCTCAAAACAGAAACGCTAAGCTAAAAGGAAATACGTTAGTAATTGATGGTATTAGTTATACTAGTGGCGATTTTAAAGAAAAGTATCATCAAGAAGCATCCGGATCCAGAACGTTGTCATTTCTCCAAGAAATGAATCCATACAATTATCCACAATCGCAGATTGAGGTAGAAAAACTGCAAACTCAAAAAACTGGAAAATTACTAAATCATAATAATATTGGAAATAGCGAAGATCTACCAAGAGAAGATATACCGGGTTCCGAAAAAAAACGTAAGGTGCAAGACATATCTATTCTATTTCCTGAAACGAACGTGAAACGAGCACCTCTGTATCGGACGCGAGCGAATTCCAACAAATCTTAATAAATTATTTTTTTGTGAAACCGTTGTAAAAAGGTTAGGATATTTTTAACTATAGATTAAGATTAATATGTTTTTATTTTTATATTTTTTTTTGTTGATAATTTTCTGTGAATTATTTTTTTTTGAGTATTATAGAAATGTTAATAAAGATAGCAATAGCAAGTTATAGAAAAATAAGAAAAAATAAGTAGTGGTCAGAATTATATTATGGAAACGATTAACATATTGTATTTTAGTTATAATTTTAGGGTGTATGTATGAATGTAATCTGAATTTGTATTTGTTGATCGCATAGAAAACCTCGCACAAAAAACTTTTAGTTTTTTCAGAGGTAAATTTATGTTTATTGTATATTTATTGATACATTGTAATTTATTGAGTATATAAAATAAATAAACATCATATTAATTAAAGTGTTCTTTAAACATATAAACATGTAAAGATATATAGAAAATATGTAATAAACCTTTCTTTGACTTCAAATGGGTCATAATTTTTGGGCAATTTGGATAACATGTCCGTAGACAGTCGTTTCACCGCACCTTCCCTGGATTCTCCACCACCTCCGCCAGATTCTTTAGGTTGAATAGCCAACATAACATTAAACATTTCAATAGTTGTATTGGTCTGATATCTGTAAGAGGTATATATTATTTAATACATATATTCCAGCAATAACAGCTATGAAATATAAAAAATTACGTAATATCTGCGTTAGAGTGTAATCCGTATGCTTGAGGAGGATCTATGGTAGGAAAACCATCTATGTGGGCGAGATAGTCGGTAACATTTTTAAACTTCACTATTTTGTAACCTTTATAAAATATAAAATCTTCCTTAAATATGTCATCATTGAACCATACTCTACAGAATGTGTTAAGTAATTTCTTATCAAAGTCATCAGTAACTCTTCCTCCGTAATGCACTTCTCCTAACATATACCTACAATTTTAGTATTTTAAAATAAAAGATTACGTAATATCGTTGATTGAAGAAATAATAAGATGGGCAACTTTATGGACGATTTCGTAGCACAAAACGAAAAAGAAAAGATTTAGTTTAACTCTGCGCCACTGCGCACTGGTAGTCATTTACAGCGCAGCGGATAAAGAATACAAAACCTGTCCGAGATGTAGCTGGCGTTACCGTCAATCCAAGATTTGGTTGAACTCTGTACCGCTGCGCACTGGTAATCGTTTACAGCGCAGCGGATAAAGAGTAAAACGCCGTAATTAATTCAATAATTTCAGTAAAGTTGTTTGCTGTTATATTTATTGTTTCAGTTCAACAGGGTAACTTAAATAATTTAGTTAATTACAGCGTTTCACTGAAATACTCCGTCATTACAGGGAACGAGGTCTACAGTCAAACGATGTACCAACCGAAGAGTTACAATGTCTGCCCCGGCAGTACGTGAACTGAATAGGCATTCCAGAAAATATTGAATTTCACTGTATATTTAATTCTCTAGAAACTAAAGTTACGACTTCATGAAAATAACTCACGTCGCATTGCTGTTATAGCAATTGGCAATGAAATTAAATAACATTCTGATAACAGGGAGAAGAATGATATTGAATACGCAACCGGGATAGAGTTTTTCAACGATAGAATGCATGACAGTGACAGACGTTGTATGACAGTGACAGACGTCAATTTTTTATTCAGACCTAATTTAGAGATTTAGATTTCAGATGTCTACTCAGTGTCAACTTAATAAAAATATACAATCGATAAATTACTCTAATACATTTTATTTTCGCAAAAACATATTCAGCAGGTTTAATTTTATGATAGCATACATTTTCAACTTACAAAGACCTGCAATACTTTGCAACAAACTCTATATTATTTCTAGCTCAACTGACATAATAAGGAGTACAAAGGGGAACCAGGTCCTTATATTGTCTAAAATGGTAATTTTGACACGATATTTCTCATGGTCTTGAAATAAAATCTAAGAACTATAGTTCATAGTGCTCCTCATGTGGAAGTGCTTCTCCACTGGCTTAGACATTTAAATATAATTAATTACTATAAAACTGAATCAACCTTGAAATTAGTGGAATAAATTAGTGGTTTCAATGATACTTTATACTTATGTGTTTACGATCATTCATAGTGTATAAATAACACAATTAAAATTAATAGAATATCCTAGCAACAGCTTGCGATTGTCAGTTTTATCTATAGAGAAAGCCTAATAATTAGCTTATAAAACAATAAAAAATATATATCTAACCACAATTTCTTTTGACTCCTTCAAAATGACGTTACTCGCTAATTTGGAAGTATCAGTGGAAAAAGGTAAACGTTTGTTAACTTTTTCTACTAATTGAAACTTACTTCCACCGCAGACTTTAAGCTTTATTCAGAAGCTTGAATTTAGAGGAATAAATTAGTGGTTTCAACTGGCACAGAAATGTGTTCCTCTAATTTTTTTAACGTAAGCAATCAGAAAGTCAAAATTAGTTGTAGAAATTTTCAATTAGTACAATAAGTAAAAAAACTTTTAACTTTTCCCACTAATTTACTTCAAAATTTGGGAGTAATATCATTTTAGCCTTTGATTATCATCCGTCAAGAGAAATTGTGCGCGTTCAAGGAACACAGCCGCTGACTGACCGCTGAGTATTTTGCTTAGCGGCTGACCGATTTTGTGTGCAAAAATAAACCGTTTAGGGAAGTCGCTTAAGCCCCGGTTAAACGGTCCGCGGTCCGACGAACCTGTCAGTTAATCAGTTGCATATGGCGTACAGAAGAGAAACGTCAAGATGTCGTGGACCAACGAGAAAGCTTTGGATTTTGTTGAAGCCCTTGAATTAGAGGAGGCAATATGGAATACAAAACAGAAAGGTCATAAGGACCGAAATATTGTCCATGATCAAAACCAAATTAACTAACATATTTGATCCACTGTATCTGAAATTTAATCCATATTAAAAAATGTTTAATAAATAAATTTGGAAATTAAAACAGTTTAATGTTATATACAAAAAAAAAGTTTACCTGCTTCTATTTCGCATATATGTTACAACCAAAAATAAAAAGTAAAGGAACAGCAGAGTAAACTTTATGTTGCATTAATCGATCTAACGAAAGCATTCGACTCTGTAAACAGAGATGCACTTTGGGCAATTATGCAAAAGTTCGGAGTGCCCAACAAATTTCTTAGTGTGTGTAAAAGCCTCCATAACAACAACAAGTCGAGAGTGTCACATCATGGATCACTGAGCGATCCTTTCCTGACAAATACAGGAGTTATACAGGAATGTGTCATAGCTACTCTCCTATTCAACATATTCATGGCAGCGCTCTCTATTATAGTGGACAGCAAACTGCAGGAAAGAGGAATGGGTGTTAGATACATGTATGACGACGGTCTGTTCAACTAAAAACACTCAGGGCAAAAATACGTATAAAATTCATCACAGGACTCCAATACGCTGATGACTGCGCTCTAGTTGCAAATACGTTACAGCAATTACAGGAAATGCTGAACACATATACCTGGGCATACGAGACTTTGGGCCTTAAACTGAACATCGATAAAACAAAAAGCATGTGCACTCCCCCGAAAAATCATAACACAGCGCTATAAAAATCGGAGAAGAACTACTGGAATATGTATCGGAATTTAATTACCTCGGCAGTTTGATTTCGGAAAAGGCAAATATCGACTCTGAAATTCAGCATAGAATCAGCAGCGCCTCAAGAGCATTCTGGAAATTAAAAGACAGGGTTTTCTACAATCACGACTTTAGCACAAAAACAAAACTTGCAGTGTATCGAGCAGTAATAATCTCCACCATGTTTATGGAAGCGAAACCTGGGTGCCGTACCGCCGGCACACGAGCGCATTAAACAAATTGCAACAGAGACACCTTAGACAACTTTTAAGAATCAAATGGTACCACCATATCTCAAACGTATCAGTCCTTAAAAAAGCAAGCTGCGAGAGCGCTGAAGTCATCATTACTAAATCTCGCTTAAGATGGGCTGGCCACGTATGCAAGATGCAAGAAAACCGCTTACCGAAATCTCTTCTTTACCAGGTGGACAACTCAAAAGATACAAGGATGTTGTTCATGAAAACTTAAAGGGGATTAGTATGCAGCATCCCTAGATCATATATACTTACGTGGATAAATCAACGCCATAAGTTTAGCATTAAAAAATATATCCCCAACATCACGACATGCCATTTTCAAACCTTCTTTATTGCACTTATGAACGTTCAATAGGTTTGTCTTTCTCGAGGACCTAACTTTACGCATGCGTATTAAAAGTGGCACGTATTTCCAAAATAATTACAATTTTATCCGGTTTAGAAAGTACAAATTATACATTGTTATGGAAACCAACTTTTCACTGTCATCGTATTGTCATAATCTTGTCATGATCATATGTCATAATGTTATTTCTATTGTGTAACGACGCTTGCATAGATAAATGCAACAAGTTTAGATTGGAAAGCCCGTAAAAATTTTGGGTCGCGAAATTATTTTGGGTCGCGACCGTTATACGCGATCTGGCGCTGCTATAGCGGTCGCTAAGAACAACGGCAAACAAAAACAGAAATAATTTTCTCTTGTCAAAGTCAGAATCTTCAAAAATCATAATAATCTTTCAAAATCTAAACCGCTCTCATTAAAGAAATTCCGAAAAGTGTTTATATAACGTCCATTTTCAAAGTAATTATTGCTATCTTGTGAGTTTAATTCAAGTTTTATTTACTCCAACCGGTGATAATTGTGAAAAAGTGGCATTAAAAACTTAAAAAGCTGTGCTGTGAACTGTGAACTGCAAAAACCATCGTGGATCGTGGCATAACGTTGGTTTCCAATGTTTCGTAGGTATTTCATACATGCGTCCTTATATAAAATAAGTTTATTGTATGCAACACACTGTATTTTATTTATAAAATTAAACGAAAATAATAATAAATTTGAATAAAAAATATTTGGTGATATAATTCCGGAAAAAGCCGAACCGCTCCGAAATTTTCAAAAGTTTTGGGTCGACCGTTGCAAGAATAGCGCCAAATAGTGTTTACATTGTCCTTATGGGCACTTTCCAATCTAAACTTGTTTCATTTATCTATGGACGCTTGTTTTTGCGTTTTTTATTTTAAACATTGTATTAATTACTCTTTTATCGACCGCTTTTATATAGCCAAGGATGCAAGTGTGTTCAGTGAGAAGTTAATTTTAAGTTTGTGCAATTATATTTCTATTTTTTACTGTTGGGTTTTAATTTTTAGGTAAATAGTCGTAAAAATGACAAGAAAGTGTTTGGTGTGTTGAAATTATAATATAAATGTCCCCGAATTATCTTTTCACAGGCAAGTAAAATATTCAGTTGTTCTTTTATGTATATTAAGCCACATGCATACTTTCTGGTTAGATTTCCTAAGAATATTGATATTCGTACGGAGTGGCTAATTTATTTTTTATTTAATTTAATTTTTGTGACAGTAACATTCAATTATTGTTCAAATATATGCATTTTACCTTTGAATAAGAAGACTAAGGAAGGAGCATAATGCTATCCATGTATTCATGCATGGTGGGCGGAAAAGCCACCACAAAAGCTCTCTAGGGTGGGGATCCTTGACAGTTCTGTTTGACGATTCATTTGACACATTTGAATTTGATTTGAAATTTTGTGGATTTGTCAGTCTTTACGGAGCTTATATTATGTTATTTATTATTTATTCTACTACTGATAGTTGTATAACGGTAGTAAATCTAGATGGAAATTGTGGCAGAACTTAAATTAACAGTGACACTATCGCGATTTATCGAAAAAGACTCTAAAATAGTTGGTTGTGTAGCGTGCGGTAGATCTCGGCAAAATTGAGTGAAATAATGGAACAACTTTTCGCTAGTAAGTGACTATATAATATACATACGTGTAGTAAACCGATCATTTATGAAATTCACTTAAATTAACTAAATTATATATTTTTCTTGCATTTTTAGCTTTTATTTATTACTTGTCAAAGATTAGATGTCAAAGAATTTAGATACGTTAATTTGACTTACCTGCTTCAGTAGCGTATCGGATGTTTGTGTTAATAAATACTTATTATAACTTATCTATTTTTATTAGAATTATATATTTTTATAACAATTTTAATAACTACCAACATTTATTCACAACGTAAAATAAAACAACAAATTATTGAGTCTACCCCACGTCTACCCTACATCATAGTTTTACATTTTTTTAAATAAAATTAGAACGACACTGATAAACCGGAATTTAAGTCGGCCATATTTAGGCCCATCGCGGTGTACCTAAGATTTTTGATATGCTCCTTCCTTAGTCTTCTTATTCAAAGCATTTTACAAATTAAATTTTTAAAATTAATGTTCAAATTTGACGCGTGGACGATAGGTCCTCGACAAGGATAGATAGAATAGAAGCACCGCGTGTGCAACAAAAAAAGAAGATAAATGGAAGTCGTTGATATGTTTGGGACAGTTTCCATAGTGATTTACTTATCCACGTAAGTATATATGATCTAGGGCAGCGTCAGTGGGAGAAAGTAGCGCACAATAGAACGCAATGGAGGAGAATTGTAAATTTAGTTAATAACGACAACCAAAAAGTAAAGAGGCAACAAAGTAATGAGATTTTTGAATGTCCGGAGTGCGGAAAAGAGATAACATCACGTATCAGGCTTTTCAGTCACAGAAAAGCTCATGACAGGAAACGCCTGGCGTAACCATCTTTTGATGCGTGTCAAATACTCGTCAGCGAGTAATGGCAGTAGTAGTAGTAGTAATGTTGCCACCCACTATCTCTTCTTGCATTTTTGTTGCAACAATAATCCACTATACATGACACACAAAGTAGCAGCTGCCACAGCCTGTATCACCTTGCATCCATGTCAAATCGAACTAAATTTTCAAGTTCCAGGATCAGTCTGCAGACCACGAACCACACAAACCATTTTGACAATGTCGGTTCGTCAAATGGCGGACCAGGGCAGGCCACGGACCAGTTCCGTGGTCTACCAAACCACGGGACCGTGTAACCGGGACTTTACTCAGCCACTCATCCGCTAAACGTCCCTGAACGCGCACATTGTGGTTATAAATGTAATGTTTATTATTTTACAAGCTAATTAGGCTTTCTCTATTGATACAACTGACTACCATAAGCTATTCCATAGATATATTCTATAGCATAGAATATTCTATTCATTTTAATAATTATTGTACTTTTTTAATTTTCAGATTTTGAATGAAGTTATTAATATACACATACTTAACCATAGACTTAAAATAAAATATTTTAAGTCTATGTACTTAAACTTGATTAGGTACTGTCAAGGGATTATTAAATTTTGACTGTTGTTTGATTTGAAACAATTTACGCACGGATAAGTAATGAATGTTCGCCTACTTTACATTGAGCTCGTAGCAAAAGAGATTTTAACTTAACATTTATACACAGGGTGTCCCATAAATAAGTGCAAATATTTTAAGGGGTCGTAGATCTCGATAAAAGAAACATATTTTCTCTTTATCGTTTTTCAAATAAGTCCAAAATAACGGAGTTATTTTACTTTGAAAATTTAAAAAAAAATAATTTTTTGCTAAAATTTTCAGAACCACTGCATCTTTTCTGGATTTTCTTTCTTGTAAATTTAATCTAATACCTATGTTTTCATATTATCAAGAAATTATGTTGTTTAACTAAAAACTAAAAAAAAATCCAAAAAATTTTTCAAAAAATTTCGAATTTTCAAAAAAAATTTTTTGCGAAAAAAAACTCATGAGCGTGTTTCTGGGGTTGAACTATACTACCAGTTAAAATATTTGCACTTATTTCTGGGACACCCTGTATAAGAGTGGTATTTTACCTCAGCGTTTGCCAACTAATTCCTCTTTTAGGATCAAGGTCATCCAGATGATTTTGTAAAAAGAGGCAACTCGATAACCAATCGGCTGAATTAAATTCATAAGGTATATTCCAACCTAAAGGTCCAAATTTTCTACGTTCTTGAACAGTAGTGTGCAAGAATGATATTGCATAAACTAATGGTATATACTGCCATGCATCTGAGTAATCCAGCATATCTTGATTCATAGAGCTGTAGGTTCTCATAAGACCTATATCAGAGATAGGTATTTAATTATTAAATTATAATCTAATTTAATTGATAGTATTCAAATATATCCAGAAGAAATTTATGATTAAAAAAATAATACTAATTAAGAAAAATAAATAAAGTTATATCTAAATGAACAATAGACCAAAATAAGGAAAAAAGAATATTAAAAAACGTGTTTTATAATATTAGGTGTTTAAACTGTTTTGATCATATTTTTATATATATGTTAAATTATGTAATTTTTCAATTTCAAAAGTTAAAGGGTATTTTAAACCAAAAACTATTTTTAATAAGGCCACTATTACACTGACAAATTTTATTTGTCAAAGATTTTATTAGGTTTTATTATAATTAGGTTAATTTATCAAGAATTAGTAGCGCAGTTCGAGCAAAATAGTATTGTTAATATTAAGCAGACATCCACATAGTATTCATGGAGAAATGCACATTATTCAAGGGTGCATCTAGACATCATTCATCCAGACAAATTAAGCAACGATCAAGAAATGCGGGAACGAGAGTTAAATGTTACATCCGATCTAGTCTTGTGATTGAATCTTGCAAAGTAAAATTGCTCACGGAGGTTAGTATAGTTAGTATTAGATGTTGTTACTAGTAGTTAGTAATAGACTAGTTTGCATAAGCAGGAATCATATCGTGAACCCATTGTTTCATTTGTTTTGACAATCTTATTTTATTTGAGTTTTATTTTTGTTTTATCTCTTACATTATTTCCTTTCAGATTTACTTTCTTTTTTTTATATTTATTTTTTTGGAAACAATAGTTTGACTCTTAAGGGGTGGGCAAAATCTAACAGATTATTTTTTTAGTTCTCTCAAATTCAATCTTTTGGGTTGTTAGTTCTAGAGAGAACCATTTTAGCAAAGAAAGTTGTAGAACAAACATCTGCAACTATCTTTCAAGAGCATCTTAATGTTTGTAAAATCCCCAAGTTCCATAGTTGTAAAACCAACGACCTTTGATAGGGCAAACTGACGCCTGAGGGCTGATAATGGACTACGAAAAACCATCCAAGATGTGAAAACAAATAATTTGTCTGTAAACTAAAACGTAGATAAAATAATTAATTAGTAAGTAAACGTTTAGAATTAGAATTCACGAAATGATGCCTGAGTCTTGTTTCAAAGATGCACTTGTAATCTATAGATAACGGATAAGATAGATAGGATAAATAAATACAAAATATACATGAGTCGCCGGTAAATAGATAAAGTAGTACCATCTTACAATAAGAGGTATGACGGATCTCGGTTGAAAGGGAGTGTCAACCTGACCAATCGAAGAAGTACTCGCATTTTCAAGGATTACGTAATTTGCCAATTGGGATTTGGTTCTGCCTACCAACCCTTAGACTGTACCAGAAAATGATTTGGAGAGTAGTTCGGTTGAAGTCTCTAAAACTGGTAAGGTTTACAATATGATCCATGTAGATTTTGTAAGTCTGGGTGTCAAAGTTCTTTTAATTATTTGTTTAAGTAATCTACCGTAAAGTCATTTCAATTTCATTTAGCAAGATTTGGTTATCGAATATTGTTTCAGTTTATTTAGTATGGTCATATTTTATGTTAATACCAAACACCAGACCTCTTGTTCTTATTTTTTTTTTATTTTTAATATTAATTTGTAATCCTTTTATATTCTTTCTTTTAATTAATTTAAAATTTATAATATAATAAGTGTTGTTAAACTATCGTCTTTCATTTCTCAAAAATAACACATTATGTCCCTAGAATACACAAATTAGGCAGTTAATGCCCTCAATATTCAAGAAGGATCCGCTCAAATATACTATTTTAATTATATTTAAATCGAGGTCATGCTAATCAGAGTAAGAGACAAATCCCAAAAGATCTCTTACAATGTAAAAGTCATCAACGACTAAAAGTTTATTTGGTATAATCTTATAGAAAATAATTCTTTTTATTTACCCGCTCTTATACCCGAGGGAGCTTCATTCGTAAACTTAATACAAATCTGAAGTAAACTTATTGGAAACTTCTCGTGCTCCTCGGTAGTTATCCAAAGCCGAAAATCAGGATGAACACTGCCAATTCCCTTCTCCAAATCCAGAAACTGAAGAAGCACTTCCTGCATATAGTCCAACGATAAATGACAATTTTGCAACAATGCCCAGAATCCCTATTAATCAAAAATATGTAATAATATTAAAAAATAAATTTGTTTTAAAAATTATGTTATTAATTCACCCTGCATTGCTTGAGCTAACATTTTTCTAGCATGAACCTCTTGTCCTTGTCCCATTGAAATACTTTTACTCTTTAGTTCTAATCGTTTAGCCAACATCTCAATATACGGAGTAGGATCAGAGCCCATGCTCAAGAAGCATATCAAAGGCGTTAAAGGTCTCGATTCTTCATGCATTGATTCAAAATTCAATATAACTGGTTCAGCAAACCTGAGCCCTAAAGAATTAGCAATATATTTACGACTTTGAAGGTTCCCATTCGACAATTCAAGAGCGTGGTTACTAAAAGTTTTCTAAAGGTATCTAAATTATTATATCCATCTGGAATTATAGCTTCCTCTGGAGCATCTTTGTCAAACCAACTCTTCCACTGTTTATCATTAGCAGTAACTTGTTGTACAATATACTGGAAGTGGCGCAATTTGGTTAACTCAACCAGGTTCAACCAAGTTAGATCCATGATCCACTTTGCTGCTTTTGGAGGACAGGCATTTAAATCTAAAGCTGCGCCGCCTTTGACGAAATTTTGAAATTCGTCATGTGTGATGTGTTCCCTTTCTAAGTCGATATTCAAGCACATTAGCAACACAAATAGGTATTTATGTCGTTCATATAGGCCCCTCGATTTATATTTGAAAATTTCATAAGTAAGATAATCAATTATAAAGTGAATTCTTTTACTAATAATAGCAGATTTTTCGGATCTGTTCATAGATACATCAAATCTTTCCAGAAACTGTACTAGCGATGTTTGATACATGTAGTTCACCATTGCCATACTAACTACCAGGAAATATAAAATGCTTCCTCGAGTGGCGATAGGCCTAAATTCTTCTCTAGCTGCATTGATTTTTACTTCTGTTTCTTTAGCAATTTGTAACTTTTCACGAACTTCGGCAGCTGTATTTTTCGTCACATTTAACACCTCAATTACAGTGTCATCATCTAATAACGATCCTTTAGTCGTTGTTAGTTTATATAGTAAATTCTGTTCAAGTTCCAACATTTTCCTTCTATTAGCTGTGACATCTGTAATCAGAGTAGTTCTCTCCATTTCCAACTCTTTCTTCTCCGTCAAAATAACCCTTCCAAGCAACTGATCTTCTAAACCTTTCATTGTGACTGTGAAATCTATGATAGCTGTTCTCGCAAATACTTCCGGAGTGTAATTAGGGGCTAATTTTTGTAGTAATATATAGCTTAAACCCGGCGTTCACATCAACTTCCTTATCTCCTAATTTAACTTTAAAAGTAGTTCCTATCTTAATATAATTCTTTTCAAGGACATTATCTAAAACAGGATCTAGTTCTTCAGCTATATCTTCAATAATCATTGGGTAACCTAAGGAGACAGCATCTTCTACGTGATTTCTAAAAATTATATTATTTATAAGAGTACAGATTGTCCCACTAAGAATAGCTCTCGACTTTATCTCGGAAAGTATTAGTGGTAGGGCTTGCGGAAAAATACTTATACAAAAAGATACCATGAAAATTACTGGAAATTATTCTTCAAGTTTGTAGAACGGTCGCATAACTGCTATGGAAAATAACAAAATAAAATGTTTAAGAAATTTTTTGTTAGAACCATTTTCCTGGTCTACTAAAATAGGTGGGGGAATGTTAGATCTGTTTATATTTAAATGTTAATAACTCCGGATTGGATGATTCAAAAAGTGAGAGCTCGTTTCAAAGAGCGTTTCTTACTATACTGTAATATACCCTTGTTTATATTCTTAAAGTTGTTCAACCGACTAGACAAAATGCGCTGTCAACTGGAGGACAAATCGTGAACCTTTCGGGCGGAGTCAAAAATATCGATTATTTTCGTTATTTTCCCAGAATGTAATATAGCCCGGGTTTCTGTGAACTTTAATAGTGATCAGCTGATTAAGAAATATAAACGAAACTTTTATTTTATTAAATTGTGGATTATTTTGCCTGTTATTTTAAGAATTCTAAACCGTATTAACAAAGAAATAATTATTTCGATATGTTGGTACATTATTTTTAATTATGATACTAATTGGATGTTAATTAATATTTAAAAAAGTTATATACCTATTTTACTTGATTTAATGCAGGTTTATAAAAGAATCATTTCATTCTTAGATTATTATTTTATTCTAAATTGAGTAAGTTTTACCAATTTTAAGATATTTTTTTGAAAACATAAAACTTTTTACATTTTGATGCCAAATTAAATGGCATGGTATTATTGGTATGGGAATTATTAAGAAAGAATAGAATTAAGAAAATTTGTAATTTTTTCGAAAAAATATTATAATTTATATCGCTGAAAGCTTAAAAATGGGTTTTATGAAGTCATGGCCAACTAGGTTTCATTTAAAAAATATAATGTTTGTGTTATATGTCAAAATGACAGGCTTTAAAAAAACAGAAAACACAAACCAGTATGTGATTATCTTTGGCCAACTTTTTATTCGAAAACTTTTTGTCTAAAATACCGTATGATCGAATAAAAACGCTCAGCGATGGTTAAGAAATGACGATCGATGATATTTTCCATATAATTTTATATATAAATGACAACATTCATTTCGTAGCTATCGCTGACGCTGTTTTTTATTCGGATCATACGTATTATAATGGAATTAGAGACAAGTTTTAAAATAGCCAAAATTTGTTTTTTTTCGCAATATCTAAAAGTTTGAACTTCACCGAAAAATCCGAAAGGCTCATATTAAGACCCTACAAAACTGCAGTTCTTTTCCCATTTAACAGATTCTCTGTTCAGTATTTTCTGAGATACCCATAGCGAACATCGTAGGAAACTCACCCTGTATAGTATTTAGAAACTAACTATTATTATTTGACTAGATTGATTTGATTAATAAGACTCGATTAATTTATTTTAAAATAAATTTGATCAGATTTTTTTTTTTTTTTCATATTTACTACCAGAAAACCAAAATTATATGATAAGCACTTTTCAACGAAGTTCAAAGAAGATACCTAATACAATACTTTCTTAATAGAATTAATACAATTAGAAGAAAAACAAAAGAAAAATACCCAAATACCTTCACCTACTACTCATCTACAAAATAAACGAATATAAACTCTTATAAAAATACTACACAACTACTTCTTCTACTTTACACTGAAAAAATGATCAAACTTACCACTACTCAAACAAAAGAAAAATAACCAAATTATCCCTTCAATTCATCCTACTACTTAACTTACAAAATAATAATCTATAAAACACTACTAAACTAATTCTGGTATTCTACACTAAACATTATAATTAAACTAATAAAATTAATTTAGATTTTTTAATTAAAATTAGTTTTACACTACAACTACAACTACAAAGAAACAGAACATTTTTTAAAACTAGAAGAAACAGAACTACGATACGTGCGACCAGTATAATAGATCAAGCCGACAAAGAATATAAAATACTTTAAAATGTGCATTCAGAAAGAAAAAATATCTCGGAAAATACCCAAACAAACAATTTTTTTTTCTTATCAGTGAGAAACATCGGCCTCGTCGGTCTTGCGGAATTTGTCGGGTATTTACAATGGTCGAATTGAATAATTACCAGCTTTTATAGCATATCTAATAGACAAAAGTATCTGGTCGATTAGTAACCGATTGGCACAGTCCGAAAATTATCGATTTTTATTTTCTCTTTGTTTTTTTTTTTTTTATATCAATGTTTATTCATAGAGTAACAAAAATATTTTTCTGTAGTAAGACTGTGAAATACGCCCGCCATCTGGTGCTTTACATCCATAAACGTCTTAGGTTGAGCTACTTTAAAAATTCATATGCAAGGATTATACCTATGGAGTGTAGGATGAGGAGAAATATCTCTTATGGGACTTTTATTGAAAAAGTGGTCACAAAATGGGAAGAATAATGGTTCACCAAATGACCACAGTGGCGCTAATAACGCAAAAATCTAAAAAAATGAAAAGTAACCATAGATAAGAGAATAAAAATAACATAACAAACATTAACCAAAAAAAACTTTATTTTTATTTTTTAGAATATAAAACAATTATGTTTATATATTAGAGGCCCAGTATATTGCTGCTGAAAAAAAATCGATAATTCAGGCGACATGAAAATATTTATCTCTTTTGAATCATTTCCTGTTTTTTGTTTTCCATTTTAGGTTTTTGCTACAGCAACGCCATCTTAAGTCCCTTTTTTGACCATTTTTTAATGCACGAAGATATTTTTCCTTACCTCTACACTCTATCATTATACCACATAAAAAATAAATATAAGCTTTTGAACGTAGACGGTAAGGGTTACGCTAAAGACGTTTAACAAACATTACGCGTTTTTTTTTCAAAAACCGCATCTTAATATCTTTTTTTAAATCAAAGTTATTATATCAACATTTTGATAGTCTCAGCATCATTTTTTATCTTTTGACTGCTTTTATAAAAATGCCTTTCTTCAAAAGAGAAAAAACGCTACTAAGACTCATATAGTAATTAACTAGAAAGAAGTGTCAACTCTGTGTTAAATCGCGGAAACACGATACGCCACCGAAAGCCTTCGTTGTCGTCTGGAGAACTAATTTTCCAATTGACAGATTGACATGATGGCTTAATTTTCATTTCCGTTTCCGGTTATTCAATGGAGGGTCCTCTTTCAGTTCAAATGTATTTTGTATTTTTCTTTCATAAATAAACCAAAAATAATTTATTCACATATATTTGTTTGAAATATGGAACAACGTGACTAAATAAATATAAAATATAGAGGATTGTATTGTTTCAATATCAATTAGTTAATTATATGCACTTTTAACGTAAATTAGTTAAGGAATAAGCATGACTTACAGTATTTTGTAAATAAACACACTGCAGACTTCAACGACAGAAAACGGACACAGGAACATGAAAACGGGAGCCTTATACTAAACCTGAAAACAGAAAACAAGTTTTTTTATACTAAAATTAACAATGTAAAATATCAATAGGCAACATACTGTTTAAAAAAGTGTCCATTATTCCCAGAGACATGGCTTATAAATCAAAAGAACTTTAGTCGGATAACATAATCAGATTATCAGTCCGATTTATTGCATTATTGACAATAAATCGCACATACTGGAAGATAACTAATGTTGGCTGTAGTTAAAAATGATCTTACCTTGTTGTAAATTGCTTCCATTTTCAAAAAATCGCCGATCAAAGAGATTATAACAATATTTTCTTGCATCTAAAAAATGTAAAAACAGTGTTTATTTACTACCAATTTTTCATATACATGGGACATACCTACTACCGCAGAAACGTCATTTTCTCGGGGATTTTCATGTAATATATATTTTATATACTTTATTAATTTTTATATTTATAAATTTCAGCCGAAATATTAATTGAACTTCCAAAACGAAAACGAAACTAAACGGAATGAATTAAAATGGCGTCGAATATTTTCTACTTGTCTAGAACAAATCTGAAGTTGTTTCTCAAATCTGTCAATTCTAAACTGTGAAGTTAGACAATAGTTAAACAAAAACAATGCTGTCCTTGTCTAGGCGGCCATACTTGTCGTGAGGAGAATAACAGGAATGACACTAACGACTGTTTCCAATTTTCCTATTTCACTGTCACCCCCCTGCTAAGACTATCAAAATTTTGATCGAGCGGCCGTTCTACAAACTTGAAATTAATTTCCAGCAATTTCTCATAGCCTCTTTAGTTATAAATATTTCAAAAACCAAAAAAAAAAATATTTGTGACTAAAGAGGACACTATTGCTTATTTTGTTTTTCTTCATCTTTATCCAAGCTTTTCCTTGACTTTGTGGATCGATTAAAAGTGGAAATCTAGAAGCCGTTGTAACAATAATGCCATTTTGTATCGAAAGTTCGTCTGTTGGTAATCCTTGCAAATTCCACTCACCGATCTAAAAATATTGCATAATAAAATCATAATTACTGTAATATATTTGATCGTACAGTTGCCATATCCGTTAAGCTATCTATAATATTTATACTTAGAGTAACTGGTATTTTTCTTCTAATTAAAGAATCAAGCCAGTTCTGTTGCATAACAGATCTAAATTCTTGATTGAAAGGACCAGTATAACCTAAGAAACCAGTCAGTAAAACGACATCGCCAATTAGGCGTTCGGTTTCGGCCTTAAATTGCGCCAACTGCTCAGTCCATCGGATTCGTTCTCCTGCTAACCCATCGATAAGCGCCGTTGCAGCATCCATTTTATTTTTAACTTTCATCGCAGCTTCAAATATTTCCTTAATACAAATAATAGATTTGAAAACAATGGAAACATGTGTTTACTGAACAGAACGTTACTTGTTTGAATGCCATAGCCTCATCATACTGTTTTTGACATTCTCTTACTTCTGCTTCTTTAGTAGCAAGCAATTCCATAGCTGCCTCTAATTCTTCTTGAGCCTTGGATAATTTAGCTTGTTGAATAGTCAAGTTAGCCTAAAAAAATGTATCTATCAGAGAGTAAATTGTTTAATAAAATGATTTACCTTAGTGGCAATACTTCCCTGTTAACTTCAAAGAAAGCAGACATAGCTATAGTCCAAGCAATTAAACCGGCTACGTTACCACAAGCTGTTTTCGCAGCCTCGTATGTATACAAAGGATGAGTTAAGTATGGCTGAAGTAAGTCAACAATCTCAGCATTAATTGTATCTTTCGGATAATTCTGGAGATTCTTCAAAAAGTTCGTATCTGCCATAACCTGAAGTATATAATATTTAACCATCACTTAAAACACATTTATAAATAAAATACTTTAGAGAATCGGTCCATGATGGAAGTAAGAAATTTTTTTCAAAATCGTTTTTTTTTGTTTTTTAATTTATTTCTGTTTCTTAAAATATATAAGCACTGCATCCATAATTAACAAAATTAAATATGGTGGCTTTCCTAGCTTTCGGACGGTTGCTATATCAGCGGCTTTAATTATAAAATATGTCGATCGAATAAAAACGGCGTCCAGTTGTTGAAACACGATCGATGACATTTCTCATATAATTTTACAGGTAAAATGACAGCGGTCTTCATTTCATAGCCATCGATGACGCCGTTCTTATTCGATCATGCCGGTATTATAAATTAATGTATTAACAAAACAGCATAGAAAAATACCAAAAGAGCAGCTTCAGCGGCATCTAAAGCGGGTTTTGCCGCCAGCAGCTTCTGTTCTGCCTCTTTTTGGTCAACGCTGATCAATTCTACTAAGTTTTCAGCCCTTTCTTTAACCATCAGAAGCCTCTTTAATTTTGTTTGCTATTTCACTTGCAGCAAGTACTTCATTTAATACCTATAACATAATAAAACGATAACTAGGTATCTATTTTTAATTTATCAGATGACAAATACTTTTTCAGCTGCTTCCGTGGCGACTGTCATTTCTTGCTCTTTGACTGCTAACTCTTGCCTTAAAATATCAACACTAGCCTGCGCTTCAACTAACTTGGAAAGTCCAGTTTTCATTCTCATCGCCAACATATCTATGTTGTCAACTTTTTTCTTATAAAGTTCTTTATAGGCAGCTAAATACGATATAAAAGTTTTTGGTGTCACGTAGGTTCTCCGTCTGAATCTATATTACACAAGACGAATAAGTAAGGAGTAAACTACACATTAACAAAACCAACTTGTCATAATATTTCTCACAATAATCCGATACTCCATCGTGAACTTCAGCCATAATCAAAATAAGTTCCCTTTTTACTTCGGGAGTTGATACAACATCGTATTGTGTCAAAAAATGTTCAGATACTTCTTCTAAAGCGTCTTGAGGCCATTTTTGGAACCAATTGATCGTGCAACCGGAAATTAACCCGGGAAATTTGAGAGCCCTGCTACGAAACTTCTCTCCTACCTACAATCCAAACATATTTTAAAGTGTGTTTAATTTGAAAAATTAGTTTTATATATGGTGTTTCAAAAAACATGTGCCATCTTTCGTAGGAAGATAAGATTTATTTTTCATATCAACATAGGTCCGATTCTGCTTTGTTTCATAGCTACAGGCGTTAAAGTTTAATATTTTTCGATTTATTATAATTTTCTTCCAAGTACTTTTAGCGTTTCGAAAGAAATTGGGGTAAAAGTTATCATAAATGCAGCATATTTTAAAGGTGTAAAAGTGTCGACATATTCACCAGCGACGTGCACATCGGTTATTACTGGAATATTTTTCTAAAAAGCATTGTACGCCACTGACTTTTTTCTCTAGTTAGAGAAACAGTGTTGTTAACAAGACAAAAGTTATTTGTCCATTTCTGGCCATTACTGATAAGATAAACGCAAGCTGATGAATTTGTCTTGATCCAACTTTAATAGCGACCCTTAAAAAATTAATATGATTCTTTGAATAAGAAGACTACAAGGAGCATATCAAAATCTGAGGTACAATCGGGGCGATGTAATACCTCAAATAAATATGGCCGACTTTAAATTCCGGTTTATCAGTGTCGTTCTAATTTTATTTAAAAATAAAACTATGATGGTGGGTAGACTCAATAATTTGTTGTTTTATTTTACGTTGAATAATTAAAGGTTTAAACGGTTATAAAATATAATTCTAATAAAATAGATAAGTTATAATAAGTATTTATTACCACAAACATCCGATACGCTAATGAAGCAGGTAAATCTGGAAAATCAAATTGACGTATCTAAATTCTTTTTTTTTGACATCTAATCTTGACAAGTAATAAATAAAGCTAAATGCAAGAAAATATATATAATTTAGTTAATTTAAGTGAATTTTCATAAATGATCGGTTTACTACACGTATGTATATTATATAGTCACTTACTAAGTTGTTCCATTATTTCACTTGATTTTTGCCGATATCTACCGAACGCTACACAACCAACTATTTTTGAGTCTTTTTCGATAAATAGCAATAGTGTCACTATTAATTTATACACAATCATCCTAGATTGTTTCAATTTTTATACAACTATCAGTAGAGAATAATAAATAACATAAAATAAGCTCCTTAAAGACTGACAAATCCACAAAATTTCAAATCCAAATTCAACAAAACAACCACAAACATCCCCCTTTAGAATTTCGTCTGCCACGTTAAGAAATGGAAGTAAATAAAGCGCCTCTCGTGTTTTAATTGAAATTTTAAAAAAATTTCAATTAATGCCTGTATTTTTAATATATTTTTTAAATTTGCATTTTTTAATTGTAGCAATATATTACATTTAAATGGAATACATTACCAATACAGGATTACAAGCTTGTTTTCTAACATTTTTAAATAAAACGAATTATAAAATTTCAATATATGTGTATGTATATTTGTCGTAGGTATGAAAAAAGTAAAATGTTTTTTTTTTTTTATTTGCAATAAAACTTCCACTTTTAGTTTTGCAACCCAAACGCAATATTTCTATTCCACAAATAAAAATATCCGACAACACTATAATCACTGAAACTTCCGCGGTTGACAACGAAAACTGAAAAATATAACGGCACTTTTGTTTTAGACCAGTATACCGTATCGACATTAAACATTTATATATATGTTTTTTTTTTTTTTTTTTTATATTATTTAATTATCTTGTAAATTTTAATATTTAACATGATTTTAACTACTTTTGACAATAACTAATTTTTTATGTTTTTTTGTTATCAAGATGAAATTTAAACATTGCTCTTAAGAATAAAGTAATTTAATTAAATTTACATAATATGTATATAATATAATTAAAATTACTATAATGCAAATTTATACTAAGAAAACATTATATTCACAAATACAACAAAGTCTTAAGAATAGAAGAATACAGTTAAAACAAATGAATTAAAAATTGAAATACAGAAAGTTACACGCGACCCCTTGTGTCAAAATTAGATGATTAAATTTTCGCAATTTTTACACCATTTGATGACCGGTGGCGCCTCTAGTGTTTGTTCGGGCGGTTGAGCTTTTACTCCCGCTTATGGTCATTAAAGAAAAAGTTCTAAAGGGGGATGTTTTGTGAACAGAGCTGTCAAGGATCCCCACCTGAGCCTGTATGCATGATACATGTCTTCCTTAGTCTTCTTATTCAAAGATATCATTAACTTGCGAAAGTTCTAAAAAGGACCTAGTACGCATAATTGTAGGTGTCGTCACTGGAAACTGTCCCACGGGGGTAAACCTCGTGAGATGGAAAGTTTTCAACAACGAGTACCGCAGAAGAAACCATAGAGCACTTGCTGTACCACTGTCCGGTACTGAATACCGACGCTTTAAACTTTAGGACAAAGCTTTTTGAGGAAGCTAGAGGAAGGGGAACTAGAGGAAGCAGCAGAAGCCAACATCAGCGACATATGGAACTCTAAAGAGCGGGAATGAGAAATTTGAGAGAAGGTTTGTACAACAATAACAGGGTATCGCAATGGGCCCTCCGAGTGAGGGATCAAACATGATCCCAAACCCCAGCAACCTAACCTTTTAACCTAACTTGTGAAAGTTTTAAATAAGTATATTGATTCTTCATCAAAAAATATGAAAAAAAAGGGCTCATAAACATGGTATGGAAATGCATAGTTTTAGAGTTACAGGGTGTTAAAACATTTTATAAATAGGTTTTTTGTAATTATCTAAATACCATTATTTTTTATTTGAAATTGCTGTAGGCTGGACTAATAGTAATAATAATCCAATATAATAATATTTAATAATAAATTAGGTAAAATATATATTTATTAATTTTCTTTTTCTTTTAATTTTATTATTTATGATGAATAAAATTGCGTTTATCTCATCAAGGAGGTCGAATTCACAAAACATCAAGAGATACCTTTTTTTTGTGTGTTTAAAAAATATTCCATTGATAACTCATATGCACGTCCCTGACTTTTTACCTCAAATTTCATTCAACTCAATATTTGGAAGAAAATTCTAGCACCTGTAGCTACGAAACAAAGTATAATCGGACCTATGTTGTTATGAAAAATAAATCTTATTTTTACGTGAGGACTCTCCCTACGAGAGATGGCACATGTTTTTTTGGAAATTTTTTTTTTTTTTTTTTTTATGTATGTATATGATAAAAATATACGATTTCAACAGACGACATCGAAAAGTGTAAAAATAAGAATTATTATGGTTTACTGACAGTAAATAAACTAAAAGTTCACAGGTGAAAAGCATAAAACAACATGGAGGTTTTGTCTAGATCTCGTAATAAAAAAGTCATACAGGTTATCTACAGTCGGAGGGCGCTTCTGGTTGAATTTTTTCATTATCGGAATCAATTCGGATTGGATTTCGTCCAACTCGTCTTTGGCGAACAGATTAGCAATTTCGCCTGAACTTAAAATATTGTTAATGCTCTCCAAAAATGTCTCGTCTTTTATTTCGTTGTCTGTAAAAATAAATGTCATTCCGCGTCCTTCCAATCCTCCCACCCTATAAAGCCCTTTCATGTCTTCCATTAAGTTATTCACATTATATGTTCTAAAATAAATATATAAAGTAATCTATAAATATATATATTACAACCTAACGACAAAAATAAGTATATGCATTAATTATTACCTGGTTAATTGAATTTGGAAACTTTTGTAGTTAGCTATGAAAGATGAAAGTCTTGTTAAACTCTGTTTTCCTGATCCACCAACTCCTACTAATAAAGCATTGCCGCGAGGAGTTCGAATAACTCTTGATATTATCATTAAATTCACCATGGCATCGTGGAAAAATACCAGGTCCATTGGAGAACCGCGTACAGCTTCATTATATTCAGCCATGAATGCTAAAATAACATAATAAGAAACATTAATTAGTTTTCTATGGTCACACAATGTTTAAAAATTGTATGGGTTTATTAGTTATGAAACAAATAGAGTCAAGTAGTATAAAAATGACAGAGGCAATATTTAGGTAAAAAATGGGACATTCAAATAAAACTACTAGAAACTCATATTCGGTCAGCTTTCTTGTTAGGAGATCGTCCCCATAGTTTGTTTAATCTTTGTGTGATGAATCATGGAAAAACTAATATTACAAATCCATTGTCTCGTTTTGAGGCTTAAAACTTTTGAAACTAACTACCAATCTTTTGTCGTGTGACATCAGTACGAAGTAGTAAGGGGCCGACTCCTGTCATCGCGACCGTAGATGGGTTACGTTGGCAAGCCGCTCTTAGCCAAACCCGCTTTGCAGATGAAGATAGTCTGACTGAGAAGCATTACACCTTCTTTTGGAAAGGTCACCCTACAACACACTCTAGAATTCATGACGTAGGCATTGTAGTCAAAAACGAAATCACCACCAGTTTAACAGAAGTACCCATAAGGGGTCTCCGAACGTCTCATGACCCTAAGGTACCCCATATCAGATAAAACTTACGTCAATATCATCAGTGTCTACGCTCCCACCCTAGACACTAAAGTTGAGGATAAGGATACATTTTACCAAGATCTACAAAATGATCTTCAACGAATTCCAAAGCAAGAACGAATCATTTTGCTAGCACTGAATGTCATGTAATCAGCAAGAAATATTTAGACATTGTACCATGGAATGGAAACGTAAATAATGGTTGCTAACAACATGCACAGAGTACTATCTTTACATCACCAATACATGTTTCAAGCTGAAAGACAAGTTTAAAGATACCTGAAAACATCCCAGATCAAAGACGCAGTTCAACAAAAGCATATAGCACATCAAACAATCACTGCAAATCCACAAAATCCAAGGCTGGTGGACAACTTTAAAGCAGCCAACAACATGCTTCGAAGAAACCTGCGCCAACTAAAGGATAACTGGTGATCACAAAAAGATTATCGTAAATTCTTCGAGGCTGTAAAAGAAGTATACGGCCCAACTAAGAACGTAAGCTGTCCAATCAAGGCATAAAATGGCGAACTTCTAAAGAGGAAGAGCAAATCAATAATCGCTGGAAAGAGCATCACAGCCATATCCTTAACCAAGACAACATCCCCTATACTATGTGCTACTAAACACAATACCTTAGTATAACAGCATCGATGTATTAGATATCCCAATAACGGAACAGGAAATAAAAGCCTCCATAAAACAACTTAAAAAAATAAATCGACTGGCTGTGACGCTGATTCTAAGAATTATTAAATTAAAGAACTTATTGGTCATCTTAAGTCTCTCTTTGATGTCATATTATGGGAAAGTGGAGAGGTATCTCAGGACTTTCCCAACGCGAATATAGTGAATATATTTAAGAACAAAGGAAGTGCATCAGATTGCGGAAGCTACCGAGGAATTTCAATACTGGCTATAGGAGGAAAAGTTCTCGTAAAAATTATGTCAATCAGACTTCACCCACATATAGAAAAAATCCTCCCAGAATGGCAAACGGACTTTCGCACCAACCGCTGTACCGTGATTCCATATTCTCCATCCAGTCCTCCAACCTGCGGGAAAAGTGCTGAACAGTAGAAAACCCTTATAAGTTCTATTCAACATATTCATGGCTCTCTATTATAGTGGACAGCAAACTGCAGGAGCGAGGATTGGGTAAGTTATATACAGGTATGACAGCGGTCTGTTCAAAATAAAAGACTCAGGGTAAAAACACATAAAATTCATCACAGAACTCAAATACGCTAATGACTGCGCTCGAAGGTTATGCTGCAGCAGCAATACAGGAAATGCTGAACACATATACCTGGGCATAATAGGCTTTGGGACTTAAGCCGAACATCGATAAAACAAAAACCATGTGCACTCCCCCAGAAAATCATAACAGCGCTATAAAAACCGGAGGAACTATTAAATATATCGGAATTTAATTACCTCAGCAGTTTGATTTCGGAAAAGGCAAATATCGACTCTGAAATTCAGCACAGAATTAGCAGCGCCTCAAAAGCATTCTGGAAATTAAAAGACAGGGTTTTCTACAATCATGACTTGAGTCCTAAGTCAGTAATAACCCGACAGTAATAATCCCCACCATGTTATATGGAAGCGAAACCGGGATGCTCGGTGCCGTACCGCCGGCACACGAGCGCATTTAACAAGTTGCAACAGACACCTTATCAACTGTTAAGAACCAAATGGTACCACCGTGTCTCAAACGTATCAGTCTTTGAAAAAGCAAGCTGCAAGAGCGCTGAAGTCATGATTAGTAAATCTCGATAAAGATGGGCTGGCCACGTATGCAGGATGTAAGAAACCCGTACCGAAATCTTCTTTACGGTGAACTTAGTACGTAGAGGGTAAGAGGAAACCAAAAGATACAAGGATGTTTTCCATGAAAAATTAAAGGTGATAAGCATGCAGAATAATCAGTGGGAGGAAGCAGCGTAGAATAGAACGCAATGGAGTGAGAATTGTAAACCAGTTAACAACGACAACCAAAAAAGTAAAGAGGCAAACAATAACAGACTTCTTTTTGAAGGTATGGAGTGCCGAAGAGAGATAACATCACGCATCGGGCTTTTCAGTCACAGAAAAGCTCATGGAAAAAAACGACTTGCGTAACCATCTAATGATACGTGTCAAATACTAGTCAGCGAGTAATGGCAGTAGTAGTAGTAGTAGTAGTAGATGGGTTACGGTACATGGTCTAGGAAAGCATGTGCTGTGGGTATGATCCTCTTTGTCAGTTAAAAACAATAGAGATTTCATTAACAAAATTAAAAGCATAGCATTACAAGACGGTGAAATATTGGTCTCCTTTGATGTATCTTCGTTGTTCCCAAGTGTTCCAATTCGACATACTTTAGGCTACTTAAAGGAATTACTGAACGCCAATGGTCTCAACAACAAAACTGTGATTGAATATAGTACAGTTGATTGCTGAAGCTTAAATCACTTCAATCGCTTTATCAGACCACAATCAATTGAAGATCTTAAATGGTTTTTTCGAACATCCAAACCAAACCAAAAAGTTAAGACCACTCATAGACTACATCCTAATACGTCAGAAGACCAAATTAATAACAGAAGATGTTAGAGCATACAGAGGACCGACTTGTGGTAGCGACCACTATTTGATAAAAGCGAAAATTATATTTCCATGGAAAGGTGTCAAACCAACCAATAAACACGACGATGAAAAAACAGAAGAAGTAAATCTAAATACAATATATCAAGCCTAGACCATCAAAGTGTTAAAGAACTTTATCAAAAACGATTAGATGAAAAGCTACCCCAGGTACCGTTCCACACGACAGAAGTGTTTTTTTTTAAATTTAATATAATATTTTTACACTTTCAGTTTATAAATATTTTGCGGGGTAATTTTACTGTATAGTCTGTGAAACGAATAACTTTGAATTTGACAGTTCCCGCGGGCTTTTCTAGTGTTAATTTTATTAGGTTAGCAACTTGCGGCCATGCTGACGCAATGCCGTCTCTAATAGAACAGCCTCGGAGCGGGATTTATGACGTCACGCTAGTTAGATACTACGGATTAATAAATATGTTGTAGAATACATGGAAAACATAATTATTCCTCGTATTTTTGGTTTGTATTTTAAGAATGATATAGTTTACATGAAATATACATAATATACAGTTAATAAATGCAATATACAGGGTGTCCCAGAAATAAGTGCAAGTATAGTTCACTTATAGTATAGTAGACATACTATATAGTATAGTAGACCTTATAGTATTCAAGACACCCTGTATATACCTATTTATTGTAATAAATACTTTGGCAAATAAACTATGAACCATACAAATCCAGCAAATGTTTTACAATATACAAATAATGAATAGGTACATAAGATAATAGGTAAAATGTAAAATATATTTTTTAAATTTTGAGGTTTCAAAATCGACCTAATTTAACAAAAAACATGCAATATCTACTAATAGTGATGTATTATTATTTGCATTCACAAAAGGTATATGTATATTTTGCAAGTATCAATGTTCGAAAAATTATATTTGCAAATAATAAAATATCATCGACAAAAAGGCGTCAGCGATGGCTATGAAATGAAGATCGCTGTCATTATATAGTATCTAACTAGCGGGACGTCATAAATCTTACTCCGAGGCTGTTCTATTAGAGACGGCATTGGTCTGATATTTAGAAATGTCAAAAGCTGATGACATTTTACTTTTGACAATTATGGCATTTCGTGTTGATTCTTGCAAGAAGAGGAAGAACTGTCACTTGTTTTATTATTTTCCTTTTCTATTTCACGAAAGTAAAAAGAGTTACCTGTCTGATTCGTTCAGGCACTCAATTTAAAGAATATCAGTAACTTTTTTGACAGTGGGATTTTATATTTGCCATGTTGGTAAAAAATAACGGTCAAAATTCAAAGTTATTCATTTTATAGACTATATTTTGATGATTGATTTTATATGCAGGTGTATTTTATTAGTTTAGATTTCTTTATTAGAATTACACTATTAAAAAAATTCTATGTTTAATTTTTATCCTTCTAGTCGCATATTTCCACCAGCATTTAATACAAACGATAGCAGGGCCTTTAAACGTGCATTTTGTGACTGTCTAACCCAGCGTGTCATTTTTAGACATTTTATGAATTAAATAAGAGACCGTTTTTCTGCATACTGACCCATATAGAGATAGTTTTGGTATATTTTTACTTTTGCAATAGTTCCCTTACCACCAAAAGCCTTTTAAGAAGAAATACTTTTGTATTTAAATGGTTGTAACTAAGAAAATAACTACAAAAAAATAAAAAATGTCTCATTCATCTCCACTTGACCCTATTTAGTCAAATAAAATACCGAAGAGCCTTTCTTTAAGAAAAGTCCAACTGGGAATTTCTTCATAAATTTTTGGTGCATCAAAGCAGAAATCTTCTGGCTCTTCACCAGTTGGTTCGGGAGGATCCCTAAGAAAATCCACCCAGAAAGTTTCCTCTTCCGGATAAGCTTCAAAATCATCTCCCAGTTCTTCGGCTGCTACAGTTTTTAAAAGATTTACAAACCACACTTTATCGGGTATTATAGTAAACCTTTAGTAAAGAAATACGTTAAGGTATGGGTAGAGAAATTATTTTCATGGGAATACCTATCCGCTATCACCCGTTCACATTCGTGTCTCCAAAGTTTCAACGCCATATTTTTATTACGACATTCCAAATTTTGAACTGTCAGTATTCCTTGCCATATTCTAGATAAATCGCGTAGATTAAAAACGTAATGAAACTTGGCCGGCGTTGGCAGCATTTTCTGTTTCGTTTTCTGCCAAATATGTCTAGTCAATGGAATTAATTTTGGCATGAATTCAACGACTTCTTCCTCAAACCGTTCGATACAAAAGTATCCACAACCAATCTGTCCTGAATATATAACAAATTAATGATTATAAAGTAAAATATTTATTTCATACCAATTAAACTTTTAGTTACGTAATCGAGGACGCGATTTTTAAATTCATTGTTACCAACCGTCGACTTATTCGACGCCGGCGCCGTACTGGAATTTAAAATTCGCGCTGGGGATACAGGTGGTAGCTCTGCTGTAAAAAATGTCAACTTGCCGCATTTATTAATTATTATTTCCTGACATTGTCGTTCGTTTTCACACTTTACTTTTGTATTAAATAGTGTTGTGATGCTTTAAGCTTAAAAGTGTTTACTAGCAGACCTTGCAGTCGAACATTATTCATTATAATAATAAATAACGCTTTATTGTACAAAAAGCCAAAATAGCTTCGTCGACAAAGCATTTAAAGAACAAACAAAGGCACAAAAATAAACAAATAATAAAAATATCATACAATACAAATCATACAATTCAAAAAAAATTTACGTCATTAAAATTACTACATTAATATTAATACATGGACATTGCAGAACACAAAAGGCTTATCAATAAAATTTTACAATAGGAAAATTGTAAATGGATATAATCATTTAAGAGTCCTAAAATATTAAATACTAGACTTTTAACCAGTGTGTGAGATGATCAAAATTTTAAAATTCAAAATTGTTCATGATTAAACATCAACAAAAAAGTCGTTTACCGCATATAGGGCCCTCTCCAGCAAGTATGATTTCAGAGCTTTGCAAAATGCGGGAAAGAATGAAAGCGACTTGATATTCAATGACTGTATATTTTTTGGCATTGTACAGTATTGAGCATTTAACTAGTTCTTAGCTCGGGGTTGGCAGATAAAGATCGTGCTCCACATTCCTAAGTGGATAATTGTGAGATGGTCTTTCGGGAATAGCAGATATGTGCTTGCGGATTAAAGATCGCGCACACTATACCTACACGGACCAGTACGGACCAGCACAGCACAAACCTGCATCCTGCATGACGTCGCACACTTTACCGCCACAGACCAGCAACATAAGCGAGAGTTTCGAAAAAAGTACAGTTGTCAAGGCTCAACTACTAGAGCGTGCAACATAGAAGTATTGAAAATGAGTAGTTCAGAGGAAGAAATTATTATTTTAGCCATGTTGTGTGAAGAAGAGGAGGAAGAGAAGGAAGCTAAGAAAAAAGAAGATTTTGGGTTCACCCTATAAATCAAAAGAGAAAGCAATATGGCGAATTTCATCATTTGTTTCCTGAATTAAAAGATTCGAAGAAAAGTTTTTCCAATATTTTCGAATGTCACAAATCAAATTTGATTATTTTTTTTGCTATCGACTCCCATATTGCATCTTTTCTTTCTTGGTCTCTATATATAAAATGCTTGGCTCGTATCGCACAGCTCTGGATACTTTTGTACCAGTAAAATAAGCTTTTCTTCATTCATATTTAAAACGATTTAAAGGTTGGAACAAAAATAAACGAAATCTAACCTACATCATGCGACTTGAGCCAGCTAGCGTACTCGAAATACTGACGAACCCTTCAATATTTGCATGTTTGTGGAGGTGTGCTGGTTCGCCGGTGCGCACATTAGGTCGGACCAGCACGACCAGGCATAAATATTGCCGATCATATTTGTCCCTGACCGACACGACATGTTTTGACGGTCGTGGCTTGTGGCGGTACGTGCTGGTACTGGTCTAGTGTGCTCTACTCTATTAAATAACACGGTCACCTTCACCGGTAGATTTTACTGGTCTGGTCCGTGCCGGTCCGTGTAGGTATAGTGTGCGCGATCTTTTAGCAAACGGATTCAAAAATGAATAAAGAAGGAAGAGTCAGTATTTTGAAATTTTTAAAGAAATTCTGGCAGTCAGTTCTAATGATTAGTCCCAATAAATATCGAACTGCTTTCTTTTGAAGTTAGAAAGTACGATCAAATTTAGTCGCGCAGCAAGTACCCCAGAATGGAAACGCATAACGACGACGCGACTCAAAAGGGCATAATAGACTATTCTAGAGGTTGATATGTTAAGTTCCTTAGAAACTGATCTTAGCACAAAACAGGCAGCGCTTAGCTTCTTTGATAAAGCTTCGATGTGCAAGTCCCATTTTTAAGAGTTGTCTACAACAAGTCCTAAAAATTTCACAGAGTCCACGACGTCAATAGTGGTGTTATTAAGTACAAAAGGTTGTATAGTACTTTTATATAACATAACTTTAGTTTTTGATAGGTTGAGGCATAGGAAATTAGAATCGCACCAAGATTTAATGGTGCTTAAGTCACTGGATATAGTATTATATAGTGCCGTAACATCTGGGTCGCTACAAGTGAAACTAATATCATCATAGACTTCCATTGTCGTTGATAAACACCGGAAACAAAATAGGGCCAAGTACTGAACCCTGAGGGACACTACATTCTATAGGCTTACAAGAAGACAGACGTATCAATCCTCACACATTTTAAAACCTTTTTAAGTGCGAAGTGTACAAAATAGCTTAAAACGGTTGTAATGACCCTTTATGTCCCTTAAGTGCTGTTAAGAGGGTTGAGTTTTGTTGGTATAAAAAATAACTGATTCTTCTTCTTAGCACGCCGTCTCCCTTCGGAGGTTGGCGATCTAATTGGCAATTGTGACTCGGGAGATGGCATCCCTGAAAATTTGGACTGATGTTCGATCAAGCCATCGACGCAGATCTTTAAGCCAGGAGTTCTGTCTTCTTCCGACTGACCGCTTTCCTTCGATTTTCCCCTCAATTATAAGACGTAGCATTTCGTATTTATCTCCTCTCATGATATGTCCAATATATTGGATTTTTCTTTCCTTGATAGTTGTAAGGAGTTCTTTGCCCTTCTGCATAGCTCTGAGTACTTCAGTGTTGCTTTTTCTATCCACCCAGGATATTCGTAGTATTCTCCTGTACAAATACATCTCAAAAGCCTCGATGCGGGCTTCTATAAGCGTACTGAGAGTCCAGCTCTCACAGCCATAGAGGAGAATTGGGAATATATAACATCGAAGCATTCGCAGTCGGAGTTGTAGGTCGAGGACAGGCGGGACCCTGATGAAAAGGTTCCTCATACTGAAAAAAGCACTCCTAGCTTGTTCAATCCGTGACAGGATCTCCTTTTTCGGATCACACCCTTCATTTACAAGTGCACCCAGATATCTAAAGGATGACACTTGTTCAATCATGTTATTGTTTATTTGAAGAGTGGCTTGTATTGGTGTTTTTGAGTAAACCATAAGTTTCGTCTTTGCACTCTTCATAAGCAAGGTAAGTTAGCCCAGCACCGTCTTGATAGGTGAGGAGTTTTAGTGTTTCCGCGTGGATTTCATCCGGTCCTACTGCTTTACCATCCTTTTGTAGATTGATGGCATGCCGTACCTCGTCCTTGGTGATAACAGGGCTCGCCTCATTGATGTGGCTTGCCTGTGGGCTCTGATTTGGCCTATTATCACGAAAGAGGTTTTCCACATAATCCTTCCAGTGTTTCAGCTTTTCCTCAGGGCCCACGAGGATTTGATTTTGGGTGTCGCGCAGTAGTCCGCTGTACCTTTTTTTGATGTTTCCAAGTCACTTCTTTGATCTTTTTGTGCATATTAAACAAGTCATACTTCTTTTGAAGCTGCTCTATTTCACTGCACCTCTCCGCTAGCCACTGTTCTTTTGCTTCCCTGCATTTTCTTCTTACTATTCTATGGAGCTCTTGGTATCTAAGCTTATTCTTTGTTTTCTTTTCCCTTCTCTGTTGCATTATTTTTAGGATCTCCTTGGTCATCCAAGGTTTTCTTTTTATGTGGTTGTTAAAGCCAATATCTTCTGTTTGTGTCTGAAGAAGCGCATTTCGCACAATTTTCCATTTTGCCTCCACTTCGCTGACTGGTGCTCCCCGTTCGATGTTAGTTTGTAATATCCTCTCTAGCGTATGACTAGTGATTGCTTTTAATTAAATAACTGATTACATATTTATAATTAATTTATTTTTGTTTCCTAGAATATTTTGATTAAAAGAAAATATAGAACAGTGGGCAACGCTGTGTCGGTCAAACTTAATCACGTAACTAAAAGTTTATTTGGTATGAACTGTATATATGTATTTACTAAAGATTAAATCCATAGAAGTGATGCTCGGCAAGGTGCAATTGAATATACAATATTGTCTTTTAAGTCTATGGGGTATGTCATTTCGACCACCTCCAGGATGGATCATAGCTGACAGCAACATAACGTCGGCGATATATGAGAAATCGCCTGGTTTATCCAAGCTATAAAAGCCTCCTAAAAATTTCGAGAGACGTTATAAAAGTTCCTTTTGAAATTTTAATGTACTTGCCAGTTTCCATAAGTTGACGTACTATTTCGTTGGTAATTTGGTCTCCCCAGTCATTAATTACCGGCATATTAATGTCATCAATAAATATAGTTAATGTCTTCCCAGCAGGTGGACCGTATGTTGTACCCACTCGTTTATCTACATAAGACTCGATAATTCGCTAAAACATTTTTTACGAATTTGTGAAAACAGCTGTATCAGATTTGTAAAAAAGGTAACAGAAAGAAGTGAAAGTATTTCTTATGCATATTGTTGCGGACCCGTGTGGACTCGACCTAACCTAACTATATGTCTCAGATGACCTTAACATCGCATTAAAGAATAGATACCGTAATGATTCATTCGAATGTTCGAGAAAAATCGAGTTCCACTGGAATGGAGTAGTACATACGAGAACATTCGAAAGCTTCTCTATGCACCTAATGATTTATGGACTATTCGAGAAGCTCTTTAGCTGTGGGTATAAAAGCCAGCGGCTGGGGCCTAAAGGGGACAGAAATAAAAAGACGAGTACAGTACAGTGTCGCGCGAAATTCAAAATAAATTCTTTCTAGATAAATAGTTGTAAATCGTTTGTTAATAGTTCTTTAAGTCTTTTATCGTTATTGTTTTTGTTAATTAGTGTAAATAAATAGTGTTTAAATAAATTGTGTCTTTCTATCCACACGGAACCGACGAAAAACGTAACAATATCAAGAAAATTTTCTATAAGCTTGGTACATTCTTCGCCGGTACTGCTACCATCGGAGAATATCGTTAACAACTAGTATAACAAACATATAAAAACAAGGGTTTAAATAGCCAGTATACGCAAAATTTATTATACAGGGTGTTTCAAAATCATGTGCCATCTCTCGTGGAGAGATTCCTCACGTAGAAATAAGATTTATTTTTCATATCAACATAGGTCCGATTCTACTTTGTTTCGTAGCTACAGGGTGTTAAAGTCTTGATATTTTTTCGATTTATTATAATTTTCTTAAGTATTTTAGCGTTTCGAATTTTGAGGCTAAAAGTTACTATAAATGCGACATATTTTAAATCTTAAAAAATGTCGATTAATTCATCAGGGACGTGCATATGGGTTAGCACTGGAATATTTTTCAAAAAAAAAACAAACAGACTTTTTTTCTTTTGATATCAGAATTGTGTGGTCCCTTTAATGCCAATTAAATGTTTGTTGCTCTTGATATTTTGTCGAATTCGACCTCCTTGATGAGATAAATGCAATTTTATTTATCACAATTAATAAAATAAAAATAAAATTAATAAACTATATAATTTACCTAATTTATTATTAAATACCATTAGTTATTATTATAATTAGTCCAACCTACAGCAATTTCAAATAAAAAAATAATGGTATTTAAGATAATTACAAAAAAAATAATTTTAAAAAGTCTTAACATCCTGTAACTATATGCATTTCTATACCCATGTTTATAGGAACTTATATTTTTTGATGAGGAATCAATGAGTACTTATTTAAAACTTTCGCAAGTTAATGATATTAAATTCTTTAAAAGTTGCTATTAGTCTTGGATCAAGATAAATTAATAAAATTGCGTTTATCTCGTCAAGGAGGCCGAAATCGACAAAATATCAAGAGACAACTTGTAATCGACATTAAACTGCTTACACTATTTCGCTAACAAAAGAAAAAAAGGTCAGTGGCGTACATGCTTTTTTAGAAAAATATTCCAGTGATAACCCATATGCACGTCCCTGGTGAATATGTCGACACTTTTTTAGCTTTAAAATATGTCACATTTATAGAAACTTTTACCCTCAAAATTTCATTGGAAACGCTAAAAGTACTTGGAAGAGAATTATAATAAATCAAAAA